CAATGACGAGGTCGCGTGAGTTGCGCCCTCTGCGGTGCTCCAAACCCAATCCAGGTGTGATAAACACCTGTGAATCTACGAAATGCATAAATATTCATTCTTCTAAATCGCGCCCCTAGCGGTGAAGCGCTTTTGTGTCGTGTTGTCATTTGTCGGAAAGAGTTCATGTTGTACTCCCATCGCTAACCCTAACTCTAACCCTCACCCAACCTCAATTCAATTTTGAGTGCCCCTCTAACAAGTGATGTCTTTAGCAGGGGCATAATCGCAGTAATTTTCATTATTGCAAATGGCCGCCGAAATCTCGATGAGAACGAGAGTTACGAGACTTGTTTCTGCCGCCTAAATAATGTTTATTGGCTACCGTTATTGCGTCCATTATTTCCTTGATTACCGAGTTTACGGTATTCGTGACAGCGATGGCTATAGAAGATGGAAAAGAGGAGGGGAAAAAGGCGCACGCAGTAGCTTTCTCGCTCTCCGTGAGATCTCGGCGGCCATTTTCAAGTCTATTGTTGCTACGTTGAACTGTTTTGAATTTCGACATATATAATTGACGATTTATCGGATCGTACCCGAATGTCGAACCCTTTGAGAGTCAGGCATGGGATCTATTGTAACGTCTACACTTTTACCGCATTTTGGTTAGTGTAATAACAAGTTTCGTGCATGTCATATTTCATCTTTAGTCAAATAATTTGATTTTGTCTTTCTTCAGATTCGTTTTTGGGCACGATCGGCAATAATTGACGACCTGGATTGGGCGCTTGACGTCGCTGATCGTAGTTTTGAGTTTCTCGAACAATATTTTGGTCGAGCGGATGCAATGAAAAAGTCCGGTGAGTGTTTTGTTTTAATATTTAACCATGAATATTTGTCACGTTATTTCATTATTAAAGGGCGGTAGTCGTCGCGCCACGCATGCGCGAGATATGTGGGTGATGGCGACTGACTGTTGCGCAGAGTACAAACTGAGACATTACCAAGCTTTAATTAGGTACTGATTGGAAGGTATCAAAAGAGTCACCGGCGGTAATTAGTGCAAGTCGCACCCGGGTCAAACATCATTCTTGTGATTTCCATTAGAAGAGCGCATTGGATTGTGGGAATATTAATGTTCATAAATATCGCACATGCGCAGCGCGACGACCAACGCCCTTTAATCAAGGCTCATTCAGTCAATGGCTAATTATGTCCATTTGGTCTAAAAATTTACATAAATTACAGAAAATTACGCAGCAATGTAAAAAAATATATCTAAGTTATTGTGGTTAAGTAGTATTTACTGCGCGCACATTTTACTGCCCATAAAAGCAAAATGGCCGTTTGACAAATTGTTAGAGAGGGCGCACTTTAAAATACAGTCGCAGTGGTCGAAATTTTCCAATTCGCTTTTCACTAAATTTTTCACGTAAAGTTATCCATATTTCATTATCCCGAAATAAAAATGCGTACGTAACTCATTTTTACTTTTCCTCAGATAACGTTGCCGTGCCAACTCATCTGTTCAGCGCCATGGAAGGATGGGGGCTGGCCACTTATCTGGAGCGCCTTGTCGTCTACAATGACGTCACATCGTCCACGCGAAAGAAGTATGAGACAGCGACGGTGGTCGCGCACGAATGTTCTCACGTTGTGAGTATTACAATATGCTTCTCTATGCGGTGATCACGAGTGTAGTTCTCACATCATACTACTAAAACATACAGCTGGTTGTATCGAGGCATATATTTATGACCACGCATGCGCATATGTATTATGTGTACGTACACATAATTACTTAAACAACCTAAAAAATACACAGATAGTACTCATAGCTGCAAGGCCAATTCGCGATGATCAACATTGTTGATTATTTTAATTTTAAACATTTGTTATTTTTCACTTTAATTTTTTTAGTGGTTTGGTAATTTGGTCACGATGACATGGTGGAATGATTTGTGGTTGAAAGAAGGTTTTGCGTCATTCTTCATGTTTGAAGTTATCGCTAACATTGAACCATCCTGGAACATGGCAAGTATACGTGACAGCAATTATCTACAATATGGCTGCGTTTCCATGGAAACCATTGAATTACTATCGATTTACTCAATTTTTATTTTCAGGATGAAATTGTATCTGTGGAAGTCGTACAGGAAGCGCTCGAACTAGACAGTTTCACGACGTCACATCCGCTTACGTATCCAGACAATCAAGAATTGACCGACCTGCTGGCCAATTTTGACAGGCTAACATACTGGAAGGGCGCGTCCGTACTGCGCATGCTCGAAAATATTGTCGGCGCAGACGACTTTAAAAGGGCTATTCAGGTAAACTATGGAGGGCGCACTTCTTCGTGGAATGTCGATGTTTCACAGCCACAGTATATAGTATGTGTTATGGCTTCAGAACGAAGCAGATTTCTTTATTAGAAAAATAAATGCTACAGTCACGTGACAGTCCTAACAATTTTTTACTTTCGCAATATTGCGAAGAAATTTATTACGCCATCATAGTAACGAGATATCCGCATACGTCTTCTATGTTGACAGAAATCCCTCTAGTCCCAGGGCGCCACCAGCGGCACTGATAAACAGATAAACAAGCAGAAATTAATATTTCACTTGCATCGATAAAATTGTTTTATATTTTCACAGAACTTTTTGCGTCGCTACGAGTATAGTAATGCCGACATGGACGATATTTGGGAAGAAGTCAGGAAGGTAGGAATGTTTTTTTGTTTTGTTTTTATATCGACCAGAAATAGTGCCTTTCAATCAAATTTATTTCGAGTGTATAACACTTTTTATAACATTTTTGCAATATAGAGTAGCAACATCCGGGATATTTTACCTCTTGGTGGGTTGATATTGCGCGTTGGACTTTGAAAGATGGCGCCGGAGTGAGCGAGGCTCATTTTTTGCGCGTGTTATAAATCGTCGTGTACCATCCCACTTGTTAACCCATAGACAGAATATTGATGTTTAAATTCGAACGTTTGTGTCCCTCAATATATCGGGAAAAATATATGTTTTATGTATATTACTTCATACAGGTAACGGCCGAGACCCTGGGTAATGAAATCGACGTCAAAAAAGTCATGGATACGTGGACACTTCAGAAGGGGTATCCTGTTATCACGGCGACCAAAAACGGCGCATATAGTGGACAGTCTACTAAACTTGAGCAGCGGTATTTTGTCCTAAAATCCCCGGAAGAAAGATTCGATTATCAGGAAAGTCCGTTCAGGTAGCGTCGGCTTATTGATCCTACCCAATATATGTGACCCCCCCCCCCCCCATTGTACAACCCGGAAGTAATTGAACCTCTGGGCGCCATTTTGGAATATGTAGTGATCTGAAATTCAAATATCTGACCAAACATTTTCGCTACATTGCTACATTTTCTAAAAATGAAAATTTTGGTTCTGGGATATTTGATGAACCCTCAAGCGATGAAGCGTAAATGGGTGACACGAATACTAATAGGCACTTTCCCGGAAGTTGATACAGCGTTTCGCATGCGCGCGCATACCGGACATGGCGTAAAATGTAAACTTGCAAGCGTGTTTGTATCAAATATCAGCAGACTGTCATGCTTGTATTTAGCGCCATGAGAATAGCAGATGTAGGTAGTCTGTACCCCACTCTCACTCCCTCCGGGAAAGTGGTCAAAGACATTGAAATCGTCGATCTCGTTTTTTTCCATCGTTTATATTTCGGGAAGACATACTGTATATTTTTGATGACAACGACTGCACACTTAAATCGGGGGGGGGGGGTCGTCACTTGCGCATGCGGCAAACGGCCATATTTTACAAACAAACGTATACCCATGAGCCTTTCCATTTTTAGCGTGCGTTGTTATCGTCGCTTGCGACTCAATTCCAGTGCGTGCGCTGGTGACGACCCCTCCGCTTTAAACATGTTTATCGATTTGAACGACATTGCCTGACCATATACGTCTGACGTCACAGAAGCGCCCGCCACTAGAGGGCGTGATTTACATGAATGGTGAATAATTGTTTGATTCTGTCTAGATATAAATGGAACGTGCTTTTCACCTACGTGGCTAGTACTGCAACGCTCACAACGCGGTCTGAATGGATCGATCAGAGCAGCCGAACAGGTGAGTTCAGACATGACGTCACAATGCTCGATTTCAAGTTGCACTCTGAGAAGGATTGCGTCGGATTTCATTTTCCAACGCTTTTGTTAAGCTCGCGCGGAATTTGCGTCTGCTCAGGGAGGGGACTATGTAGAAATTACCTATTATTTTTCAAATGGGTATAAAATCAGGGTAAAAATATCTGCAATATTTCTACTTATAGTACCGTGAACCCCTGGAAATGTGCTCTTGATTTGCACACATTTGGGTAAACAAACCGTTGATGGTGCTCGTCATGCACGAACTTTGAACGAGCCTGCAACACATCACGCGCACATGAATCGTCTATAACTGCGCAGTAATTCGGAACACGCGCGAAATATTTATCGCATTCGGGGATATGCAGAATACCAAACCACAAATGACATTTTATGATTGATGTCGGTTTGCAACTGTAACTTTTCTTCGAAGATTATGACGGAATTAGACACCCTCTTCCATTAAATCTTCGATGAAAAGCAGAAATGTGGCCAATCAAAGGAGCAAAACTGTGTGAAACTTCCCACTGAAAAAATATTACTACCAGTCACTATTATTATCATAAGTTTCTTTTATAGATGAAAATGGCCGCCGAGATCTCGTTGAGAGCGAGTGTCAGCCACCAGACTTGTCTTTTGCCCCAAATATTATCCTTACTTACTTACCTGAGGAGCCAAAACAAGTATTGTGGCTCGATCTCGATCTCTACGAGATATCGGCGGCCTTTTACGTCTGAGGTCTAATTGTGACATTTGCAAGAAAATGGTTCTCATTTTGCGATCGCTGTTCCGTGGCGTACAAATGTATACTAATCTAATTCGACAATATCCGACATTACACGATGGAACCCGACATAAGCCGATGATATTTGTCGTCACGTTACGCTGTTCTTTGAAATAACCTTACTAACTACTAGTACTACATTTTCCATTCCCTTCTTCTTAGTCGATGTTCCAGATGGCAGTAACTATGGTAACTGGATAGGTAATTTCGATCTCGCGGGATTCTACCGCGTGAACTACGAACAAACAAACTGGGAGTGGATCATCCAGCAACTTCGCAATGATCACAATGTAAGCTTATGTTTTTTTTATCATGGCAATGCATTAAGGGTGTTGTGGTTGGAGTGACGCGGCTTCTCCGTTCACTGTGAGATCCCGCGTTATGCGTGAAATCGAAAGTGAAAACAAAAGTCATAGTGGCGTTAAAACATTTTGTGGTATTCGACAAAAGTGAAAATGTTTTTTTCCGCGCTTCTTAGTGTGTTATTAACAATTATTGATGGCCAATTTTGCTGAAGTATTTGTATCCCAACGCTAGAAAGCTTGATCAGAAAGCAGATCGAAATTTTTGTTTTGGCGTGAGGGCGGTAGGTTTTGAAGACAACTTTTATAATCTGCGATTTTCTTAACACGATCGAGATGGCACTTTTGATTCGATTCTATCACTACAATGTAATGCTTTCTCTCTATATATATATTCTTGTAAAGTTATGTGTGCGTGACAACCGCCTAATCAACATAAAAATAACAGTATTTTGGGGACATGGTAATTTGTGAACTCGCGAAGTAATAAAAAAAATGGCCCTATTTGCTTTACCGTTGCGAACGAGTATTGGACGAGACCAACTCTAAGATCGGGAATATTTTATAATATCTAAGTAACCATGGTTACGAAAGTTTTATTTTGTAGCTTTTTTTATTTTTGCAACGTGGCTATTTATTCTCTTACAGTCGTTCAGTCCAGTGACAAGGGCAGCGATTATAGATGATGCGTTTTCCCTTCAAAGGTAAAAACTGATCAGTTTGTTTGATTATCCGATCGTGTATCGGGTTCTTCTGTTCGAATATTTCAATAACGACGTGTCGCAAACATAGAGGGCGCCGTGCTGTGAGAGGAGATGATTATTTGTTATGATTATGGTTCACTAGAAAAAAAATAGTACAGAAAATGTAACTAAAAACTTGTAAAAGAAACAGTACATCCCCACCTCACTCCTTCCGAGTTTCTAATGGACCTGTAAGCATCATTCAGAAAAAGAAAAAATACGCAAGTGATTTCGTTGAGATGAAATACTCTTCTTGTTCATTGACTAGTTTGAAAGTGCGCGCGTGGAATTGCCTATAATCACGGTCACATTTACAGTTGATGGTAGACCTAGGCATTAACAGAGTGTGGCTAGTCCTGTCGCATCCATGTTATGTACAACAAATGTATTATTGAATCCTTACAGAGCTGGTTTACTGGACACGATGACCGCTTTGCAAGTTACATTGTACCTTGGGAGGGAAAACCACTACGCACCTTGGCACGCCGCTAACAGGGGATTTACATATCTTAGAAATCGTCTACATATGACATCATACTTTGGTACATTTCAGGTAAAGTACTCTATTTGTGTTATATGTGTGAAGCGTTGAGGTGGCACTGCACCGTGTTGCTCAACTTTGCTGGTTCACATGCATTGGTAACTGTGAGGGCGCAAGTCATTGGCTGATGGTTTCTAAAATGGGAAGCGTGTGGCTGGGCATTGCACAGGCACTTTAAAGCGGTGGAGTCGTCACCTGCACATGCGTCATATGGCCATACACAGTCCCTCCAGGGATTGTGGGCCATAGCGTGTCATTGTTTATAAACAATCGTATACCCATGAGCCTTTGCGTTTTTAGCGTGCATTGTTATCGTCGCTTGGGACTCAATTCCCGCGCGTGCGCAGGTGACGACCCTCCCGCTTTAACATGGCCGCTTGTACTACATTTACGCAAGAACGTGTGGTGCAGGATGATGACGTAATATTGTTCTTTTCTGACCCATACTTCGTTTGATTTTTTTTAATCAGCGATACATACTAGCATTGCTTAATGACTACGATGTCACGTGGTTCATGCCCGCAAGTGATACAGTATCGGAACGATTTCTCCAAGAAATGCTACTAAAACTGTCCTGTGCAAATGGCGCCGCCGGCTGCGTCAACGAGGCCGTGTCCAGATTTGACGAATACCTGGAGTCTGACCGAAGGTAGATTACTACAGCTGGCATATAAATGTTACTATGGCAACAGGCATATTGGTTCTATGTAGAATAAAATTGTTCAAATCATGAAAATGGACTTGGCCTTTTCAGACAACATATCATTTATTGTATATACTGATATAATTTGCTAATACGCATGCGCTTTTAAATAATATTACGCACCAGAAATTCAAAATTCCTGTATAAAATTATGCAAATTGGCGCTTTCGACCTTGACATTTTTTCTGAATTTACAACAGTGTTGCGTATAGCGTGTTAACTACTGTATATATATGTTTTGTATCACAGAATAGAACCCGATCAGAAGTCCGTGGTGTACTCGGAAGGGATTGCACACGGCACAGTCGATGACTGGGACGTCATGTGGTCACGTGCTCAGAATGCCCAATCGCCAGACGAGGAGACGATCATCATGACGTCGCTGACAGCTTCCCGCGTGCCATGGGTTCTGGACAGGTAAATGGCTGAGGGCGTGATCTGCTGTAGTTGAAATGTGAATATCAATGCACTGAATTGCACCATTTTTTCCCGATGACGTCATTTGTCTAAAATTACACGTGACATCTGCAGATTATATATACGATCAGTGATTATAATGTGTCAGTATGATCAATTTAAAGATCAGTCTTCTGCAAAACAAGTCACAGTGTATCTAATCCCCCCCCCCACTCAGGATCCATAGGGGCCGCATGCGCGTTCCCATTTTCTCGGGAAAGGGGGTACTTTTTGACGATCTGTCTCGGGAACATTTTCCCGAGAAAATCGTAGAAAAGGGGGTATTTTTTGCTTGTTTTCCCGAGATTCTCAAAATAGAGGGTGTATTTCAAAACACTTCCCGAGATATACAAAAAAGGGGGGTTTAAAAGGAGTTCTAGACTGAAAAGTTCCCTAGATAGGGGGTGAAATTCATCGGAAAAGCCCGTGAAAGGGGGGGGGGTAAATTTTCTTCTTTTCCCTAGATAGGGGGGGGGCAAAAAATGAGGGAGCAAGCATAGGCCCCCCCTAAATATAGGGAGTGGGGGGCCGGGGTATCTACACACTTGAATGTAATAAGGGGCGAAGCATTTGCTGTGACGGGGAGGGCAAGGACGATTTTTTAAACAAATTATTCTATAGCACATATGAGCGACAAAGTTCTGAATATCCATGGTTCAAAAAGAATCATTACTGATATGAAAGTATAAAATAAAACACAATACACAGTTGATAACCAAGATTCAATTTCCAGTCTGTTCGTCAGGTCGCGTAGTATTTGCCGTTCCTGTTTGTTGTACTATTTATATTATGCAATAGGTATATGCAGTGGAGTCTGAATGTGTCAATCGTGCCACAGTCTCTGAATTGGGCGGTTTTCCAGAATATTGGTACTAATATTTACGGTCATTTCGTTGCCATGGACTTCATTGACGATAACTGGGATGCCATGCTATCCACGTAAGTAAGTCACGGAGTCCTTGAAACAAGGAATTGGATGATTGGCTACTGAGAACATGCTAGTTAACAAGGGGTTATGTGATTGGCTACTGGGATACACTAGTATATAAGGATATAGTTGATTGGCTACTAGTAGGCAATAACGAAATGAATGATTGGTTATTTAGTGATATTATCAAGTGATATGATTTTGTTATTATTTATTAGAACACTACGATTAAGAATTTCCGTTTCGACATGAAATCCTTTCGTTTTTATTCAGAAAATTTTTAACAAGTAAAATCATATTTGTTAAAGTTATTGTTCATACATGAGTAGTCGAACACACTACACACATTACGTTTGTAATTTTATTCAGCTTCTTTCAGTCATAATTCAAGATGAATAAATGACAAAAATATAGAGAACATAGAGATTTATTATTTTCAGTAATGTTCATATGTAATCGGTAATTATAAAAAATGGTGTGCATATAAAATTCATTTTGTTTATGATTTATCCTTCATATATTTCTAAATTCTCTTGTCAAAATCTGTTGTTTTTCATTTTTTCCCCGAAATAGCGAAAAAATGTCGAAAACGGAAATTCTATATATTAATGTCACCAGGGATATAAAGTTACATTAACAATTAAGATTGAATCTGATTGGCTACCAAGCCCTTCCACCTAACCCACCTAACAGTCTGACCAATCAGAGAGCAGATTGTCTGTTGACAGGTTTTTTTCGACGTATCGCATTTTGCCCTGTATAGATCAACTCAACTGTAAAACTCAAGTGTATGAGAATGATTTTTGTCTTTTATGTGAAAACTTGTCCTAATAGATTTGGAGATAACACAGCTCTCATGGGGTACGCTCTGACTGGGACTAGTCTGATAAACAGTGATGCTGGCCTACAACAGGTATGTCTACTTCTATTTAGCATACGTCATTTCCTTTATGTACATTTACATATGTCATTTCCTGTGTAGTTGCCTGCATGAGATTATGTTCGGTGTTCAGACAATTTACCACACCCACAACATTCAGTTTTTTAGAATTTACCAGAAATAATATATTTCGATAATTGGTTCGATCATTGGCGTGCAAGAAATTGTTATTTTTAGCAACAATCGTCAAGTTTACTGACAATTAGATTTTCAAGGCTCGTAAATTCTTGTGAAATAAATTAGTCACGAGATACATTTCACTACCTTGACCCAGTTCAGTTGGACAATACCAGTTTTATCCGTGGGCGAAAAATTAATTACACATTTTTTTGTACAGGAACGCAAACGTTCAGAAACTAGATTCTCATATATTTACCTTATGACGATTCAAATTATTTGTACCCATATTGCACCACGACAAATGAGAACTGTGCTCGGGAGATATCTCAGAAATTATGTGTAGTTAAACAACCATTTATTTTTTTTGTGGAGCAAATAATTATCTTATACTTACTCAATCTGGTCACTGGGAAATTTATCTTGGAAATGAAAGCCATTTGTCAGCATAAAATAAATGAATGAATGAATGAATGAATGAATGAATGAATGAATGAATGAAT